ATTTTTATCTGACTGATCGACACAATATTCAATTACCTCTATACCTTACCTAAGCAATTGTTTTTAGTAAGTTTTTGTAGAAGGAAAACAAGTTTGTTTGGTGTATCTAAGCAACCTGCTCACCTGGCTGGATAACCGTTGGCCTGTTCGAATGCCTATAATGAGCAGGAAGTCGATCAAAGCCCGTTGTCGATCCAGTAACAGACCTTTGCGAGTAGGATGCATTCGGCTGCAAGGACAAATTTGCATAGTCGAATGTACTTTGTTCATTGCCATAGCAAGAAAAAACTACTCACATCGCTTTGGTAAAGATCTGATGCCGACACCGATCGAACATGTCGATTCGGTTCACCGCCTATGCCAGATACAGGCGCGAAGGCCGACGTACGATTATTTGGCACTAAAAAACTTTTGAGATACCGAAGAAACAAAATTTTTAACTAAATTAGTGGAAATAATGTTGAAAAAAACATACCTGGTTGATGCTTCTGATATCCATTTGTTGTCTGTACTGACATCTGACTACCATAGCTTGGCAATGGAGCATAATTTGAATAATTTCCATTTCCATTGAAATGCGGTAAATGGTTGATTTGCTGCGCAGGCGGGAAAGAAGTCTGATGATGTGGAGCTGGTGCCATTGGCTGTAAAAGATGAAAAATATACTTACGACAATAAGCACGTCTAAAAATTAGCAGTGAAGCTTATTCTAACCGCAGTAGGAGCAGAAGGCTGACATAACCAAGCAGAAAGCCCATTTCGCAGAGCTGCTCCTTTCCTTACGTCAAAACGAACTTCTGCACCAGCTCGAGCCATGTATTCGGCAGCTCTAAAATTATTCCATTATAATTCAACCTAGGAGGTTTTAGAAACGCGAATGCCGTATGCACAGAACTTGAATTTTGCTCGTAGGAGAATTTGTATAATATTTTTTTAGAGAGTGAGATACGATGCAAAGATGTGATCCAAAACCGTGTCTATTTGGTACTGAACTTCTCACCT